GCTTTCCTTTGCCGTTCCTCTTGCACCAGAGCTGCGTGTCCCAGCAATCATACTAATGCAGGGCTGAGCAACTCTGGCCTTCCAGATGTTGGCCTGCAGCTATCAGCCTTAACCACCATAACAAATGGTGAGAGATGATGGGAGTTGTCTGCTAAAACATCTGGAGGGTCACAAGTTGCTCACTCCTGTTATAATGGGTATGCTGTCTGTGTCATAGTCCAAGGCAAACCATATGAGCAACTCCAGCAAAACTCCTTGCACAACAGTTTACTTGGAACTTTAGCCATACAATCTTTTTGGCATGTTTTAGGCCTCCAGGAAGGACAAAGGGGCATAGAAGTGGTCAGACTAAAGTCAAGCAGATAACAAAGCAAGAATCTATTTGACATATGGCGAGTGTGCCAAAGCAATTAAAATAGACTCTTGTGTAAATATGCAGTCACTGAGAAGCTTAGATTTCTGCAGTAGAGGCTGCCAGAATTTCCCAGAAGGCTTTCTAAATTGTCTCAGCAGCCAATCAGATTATAGCTGATCAGCAAGCAACAAGTGAAGCTGTAATCCTAGAAAGCGTCAAGGGGAGAAAACTGTGAATGGTGATGTTTCTAGAGATGCTCCTAGAAGAGAGTTTAGGAGTCTGTGAAGAGGAGAGTCCTTACTGCTCCCGCTCCACTGTAAGGCACAAGGCAATCTACTACTCCTTGACTGCAGCAGTATAAAATCTGCATTGTCTGGAAATTATGCCTAGAATTAGATGTGGTCTTTTTGTCCCCAGTGAAATAAAGATGAGAATTATTGGTAATTGGTTGATCTTAAATTCCTTGCCCTAAAGTTGTCCTAGGGAAAATCCTTTTAAAGGAAGGGATGTCAAGTGTACAATATACTTTAAATAAATAATACTATGAAGACAAGTCCTTGTATTTTATTCTCTTGTTACTTACTTGACTATAATAAGGAACTGCCTGGACTGCCCATCCCAACCTAGTTCTCAGAACTGGGCTCCATCAGCAGTTTTTGAGAGTGCAACTTTGGAATGCAGGTGCAAGCCTATTCTATTCTATTCTATTCTATTCTATTCTATTCTATTCTATTCTATTCTTGAATATAATCCTGCCCATGAATAGCTTTTATGACCATTCCCATGGGATGGGAATGGAGGTGTCCATTACTTCCTAGTAGTCCCATTGTGAGTGTGGCCCTTCAAAAATACCAGATCGCTGCAGAAGAGCACCATCCTAGGCAGCCTCTATTATTCTAGTCAATGCAGGGTGATTAGATGCACAGTTGTCACTGGAAGGCAGGTACCTTGCTGATAAGAAAGCACTGTTTATGGAATAAGGTATTATATCTAATTGACTCCAATCAAGTCACCACATTTATAGGTGGTTCAAGATAGGACCAGGCGACTACCATTGCTGGCAAGCGGTAGTCTGCAAGCCCACATCAGACCAGTTTTATATCAACTCCACTGGCTACCAGTGGAAGTCTGGTCCCAATTTAAAGCACTTGTACTTACATAGCAAGCCCTAAATGGCTTGGATCCTGTTTAGGGCTTGGGGTACCTAAAGGATTTCCTGCTACCATATGTCCCTACCTGTCCAATGAGTTTGAGCCAGGAGGACCTTCTTAGAGAGGCAGCCCCTAGGAAGTTGAAGGGGATGTGGGCTAGAAGAAGGGCCTTCTTGGCAGTGGCACCCCACCTCTGGAATAGGCTTCATAGAGAGGTGCCCCTGCTGCCAATGCTGTTAGCCCTTTGGCACCAGGCAAAGACTCACCTTTGCTCGGGTTATTTTAACAATGGATTTTAATGGTTATCTGGTTTTACAATTGACTTTATGTTGGTTTTAGTCAATTTTAGTTTAAATTGTTTCATTGAATGTTTTATATAATATTTTAATGTTTATATTTGCATTACATTGTTAATATGTTTTGAATATGTAGATTTAATATTATTGACTTTAGAATGTTGGGTTGTTTTATACTGTGAGCCACACAGAGACCCCAGTTATGGGCTAATGTAGCAGCATATAAATCCGGTAAACAAATAAATACATATTTCCATTGTGGAGAGCCTGATCGCATGAGGAAAATTAAAAGAAGCCACCAGTAAGGGCATCTGACTATATTTCATGATTGGACAAAATGTTATGTATTGTAAGGCATTATGATGATCAGAGGGTTTTAACATTGGTTGCATAATACCAACAGCTCCAGAAGAATTTATCCCTTTGCATATTTATTATGCCGTAAGCCAGATAACTATCAAGAATGAACAACTAAGGATGCCATTTCCATACCTCCAAGGATACTTGGCCCAAAGATACAGCTCCTCAATCTGTGGAAAAACCCTGCTTGAGGTCTCAGTGTGGTAACTTTTGATTCCTGATTACATTTAGCATTGAATGTCATTTGATTTCAGAAGAAACAGCTTGTCTGTATACATGATCAGGCCTGTAGCCTGGATTACATCTAAAAGTGTTATGGGGAAAAAATGTACAGACACTCAAAACCTGGTGCATGCATTAAATCACTGCTGTGTAACTCAATGGCATATTGTATACATTTCAAGTAAAGCTGGTAATTATGGTTTGACAATGAACAGCACAATTCAGAAGTGAAATCCAGAAGTGCATCATATCAGTTGAAGTCAGCACTTTGCAAAATGGCCCAGTTTGGAAGCCATCCACTGCAACTTGGTACTGAATCTGAACTGAGTTTGGTAATCCAAGGCTTTGTACATCCTATTATCAAGGAAAATGTTAACATTTTGTAAATTTTTTGTAACTCACCAATAAATGAAATTTGAAGAGATAGTAGTCTTTTAGGGGGGGGTATTATGTCTGCCAATTTTCAGGGGAAAAGGTGCAGTGTTCTTTCGACAACACAATCTTATATTTTGTTTTTTCCCCTAAAGGAAAATGCACACTATTTTCTTTTTATTTCTTGGCAGAGTTGGTGGAAAAAAGAAAGACTATCACCCCTTTGTGGAGATCATGACTGCCAAATTTCAAATGAAAGGAAGACCATTCTTTTCACAATGACAGACAGCACAGATATAGCCTTAAACAAGAAAACTGCAAGCTTTCAGAAGGATAGGTGCAATGGTTTCTGTGGAATTGTTACTTTCAAATTTGGTGAGTGTGTGAGTGATTTGCTTCCCCTTTTTCCTTCAGTGCTTTTTGGGGCAATATGCATAAAAATGACACACATCTTTGAGGTGTTTCCTGATGAGCATTTTAAAGTTTCGGAAAGATCAGTGCAGGTGCTAGGGAGTTCAGATGATTGAAAACCCCTTTACTTTTTCCCCATCTTGGTGCCTGGTAGAAGAACGTCTTTTTCAGGATCCTGTACTTGCCCTTCTTCAAGTACAGCGACTGGAAATCCCCTGGTAGAACTCTCCATCCCTTCTCATTAGCATTTATGCAAATGTGGTATTTTGGATACTTGCTGTTTGCCTTTGCATAGCTGAATTGTGAACAAAGGCTTATTCTAGTTTTTGTTCCGGTCACTACAGAGGGAAAAATACCTTGCCTCAGGGAAACATTGAAAATGGTCTGGAGGTACCTGATTTGGCTCAAGATTCAGGCTTTTGCCAAGCCCAATGCATATCCTTAGTCCCTTTCTGATCCTTTTTTTGTTTGTTTTTTGGTTATGTTTTGATGCTTGGGCTAATTATACATTTTGTGCAAATCACTAATGAGCATCTGCAGGAAACTTTCCAACTATTGAAGTATAGTATTGTTTATAAGGTCAGTGAAGAAGTCTATTTTTCCCAATTGTATCAGACTATTTCAAGTGCACAATGGTGAGAAATAAAATCAAGTTACTCACATCCCCTCTTCCCCAAATGATCAAAAGTCTTTGTGTTCATTTCTTCTCCTGAGCATGTTAACATTTGATAGCTTCTCCTGTTTGCCCTGAAGCAGTAGATCCCAAGTTACAGTGCCTCCCCAGACCAACAGCCCAATGGACGGAAATACTCTGCTGCAGCAGCAGGTCCCCATGTCTGTGCTAGTGAAGCAGCTGAGCTCTCATAAACTGAACTCATATTTGCCCATAGGGCATGCAAATACCACAGTACTGTCCCCTATAGAGTTGGGAGGCATTGTCACTCATCTGATAAGTCACGAAACTCATCAGAAGCCAGGAACTGGGCAGCAGTGGTAATAGCTGAATGCCCCGTGGACTGTGAGGGTTTGGTTCCTAGAAATGGTTGGAGTTTACTCGGCTTCATTGTGGTTATGCCAGAAAATTCTGTAAAGCCCAGACACTTCAAACTGAATGTGGAATGTTTCCAAGACTAGATTTGAGGTAGGCCAGGTCTGAGCCCAGTTTGCATTGCTTTCAAAATGTTGACCAAACACATGGGGAATTAATCGTTTTATTCTGGATTATTCTGGGGAGAATTTAGGGGAACCCATCCATCCATACACATGGTTTCTGTGGGAAAAACTGCCTAACCAACACTGGGGTTTTCTTTTCTTCCACTCATCCAGCCTGAGCATAAAGCAACAAGGACAGGAAGAAAAATGGTGAAAAGTTCCAGGTAATATTTCTTATTTCTCAACATCATGGAAAACACAGATAACAAATCTGCAAAACATTTGTCATGGCCTAAAGATGGTGAGTGAAAACAAATATAACTCCTAAATAAAAAATCCAGGTACCAAAGAGCAAAATTTAATGAAAGCCAAAACTGTTATATATGGATTTTTGTTGAGAAAAATGTCAATGTCTTTAAGGGTACCCCCCATTATTCTATATTTAAGAAAAGTGTAGTAAAAATACATATTACAAGTTAACATTTCCCCTCTTCTTCTGTATCTTTCTTCTTTTTTCTCCTCCCACCCTTCCTTTGATCAAAAACGTTTTAATGATGAGTCTGATGTCCTATTGTCACAGGCATTTGTCCTATCATAGAAGGCTCATCCCCACAAACCCATCTAACTGGCTGGCTCAATTGTCAGATAGGTCTCTTTGATTCCTTTGATTCTACAAAGGCAACAGAGTTTTTAAAAGTTTTATAGGGCATTGTTTTGTTCCGCACAGAAGAAAATCCTTGCACTCTGCTTCCATTGCCTTTTAAGGTGGAAAATAGTTGCAGGAGCTCTGAAAATTCTTGGGATGGAAAGAAATATCAGGTCTTCTTGGACACCCAAAGATCTCTTAACAGAAAGAAAAATGCAGGCTTAGTTTTTTGTGCCCTGCACACCATATACACATACACAGAGCTAAACTCAAAATGTAATCAACGGCAGACATAAAATAAAGATCATCATCATCATCATCACACACCGAGAACAAGACCTTGAAGATTATTATCAGAGGCTGAGATCCAAGTCTTGACAGACAGCTGGGTGGATGATGAAAACAGACAGGCTTCCACTGGCACTGAGAGCAAACAAATAGGCACTAGGCATGCTGTGCCCTCCTCAGGGGAGCTGAAGTTTCTGTGTCGCCAGTCTTATGCAGGTGCCATCTTAAGATGAGTGGAGGAAACGGGTGGAACGACATCACCTTGAGTGTTAACATCAGTTTCTAGAGATCAGTCTGAGATAGTTGTTGACATTTTATAAGCACAGCAAGTCATGGGTGAACATTTATTGGTTTTAGAGCCAGTTGCCAGTTGCACTTGTAAAAAACACATGCTACATTGCAGAGTGGTGCCCACAACAAAGCCGTTTCCATCGGTAGCCTGTGCTGCGCTCGAGTCACATCGGCTTGTCTCCGTTTTACGTCACAGTCTCCTGATTTACACACGAAGGTACCCACAGCTCTCAGATATTAGATACAGCAAGTTTCTGTTATACTGCTGGGTTTGTGCTGGCACTTGGAGGAAGTTTTAGCCCCTTGTAAAGTCTGGAGTTGCCATCCAGTCATGGGCAAATGCATATATGAGGGTGGGAACTGAAAGGGAAGGATTGGGCTTCCTCCAGATCTATGATGGAGTAGGAGATGCTCCACTTCAATCGTTTTCTTCAAGGGAACATTTTCCATTCTACTAAAGTATTTTACTGTTTATGGTGGTGATATCACACATACACACACACATACAAATGAAACTTTCATTTAAATGTAGATGCTAATGTGCACATGACTGGGGAAAGACTGCTAGCAAGTCACTCTTTTGTGCTTTGGACAGTTCTGAGAGTTTCAGTGTTTCATCACAAGCTTGAGTATTGGATGAGGGACCAAGTTTTCAGTAGCAAACAGGGTTCCAGCTGGTCTGTTTGATTGTTCCGATTCCCCTCATAATGATGGATGAGATGGAAACCATATCCGTTGGCTTTTCTGCAAATGATGTTGCTGGCCAAGACTTGATTCCTGAAACTCATTGTATTTATTTTTTTTTTTAAATCAGGCCAGCTGCAAGCAAATATTATGGAAGGCTGTGTCTAGGTGAATGCCCTTCCTTGTTGGTAACGGTCAGTGAAATACTGATTGATTGATTGATTTCCTTGTCATAGTAACTTTAATGTGGCCTAGTTACTCCATGAAAAGTCCATCAGGTATGGCCCTCATAGACCAAAAAGCCAGATGCATACAAAATTGCTCTGATGTCTGATTAACTGGTGATGAATGGTTCTCTACTCAAAGATCACCATAGAAAGGAAACCTTATGGAAGTGCAGGAATGAGGAATGGCTGATCATCGCCTCTTTGCTTTAGAAGAGGATATGTAATATACATATACATATACATATACATATATTGCATTTTCTTGGTTTTCCATCATATGTAGGAAAACCTGTCGGTTTTAGGTGCCTGCTAACTTATCCATATGGTAGCCTGGTAAGAGCATATTCTGGAAAGTGATCTAGTTCCCACACTGGTAACACTTTCAACTCAAATAACCACTTGCCAACTCTGGAATAAAGATCACATGGACCTCTGTATACCTGGGCTCTTCCAAATCCAGATACCACAACTGGCCTCTGTTTCAGAAGTCTTCCTTTTTCTGTTTTCCATGTTAGACTTCTTAACTGTGCTAAAAATCCTTCATTTGACAGTGGAATGGAGAACTCTTTCAATGGCCTACTGAGCCTTGTTGCAACAGCTTTAAAACACAGCAGAATCCTATTGTCTCAAAGGAATTGTTTGTTTTTCCTTTCACTGTTAGTAGCACAGACATTTATGGTTTGCATCCCAAACTAAACCTGATTTTTGAACTGTTGAGCAGGGCAGGGCTGGTATTTACCCTGACATCACGGGAATTAGTAAGAAAAATATATATTGCACACACTAAGAACTTATTAACAACCAAGTTAAAAACAAAATGGCGCTGTCTTCCTCAGTGTTCCTGTAACCATGGACTCAGGGATGTCTCCAGATTCTGTCCAGTCCAGTTGCCCTCTCCTTATTGCAGTACAGGTTGTACTTTCTCCTGCTTATGGTTTACTGCAAAATAAACAGACACACACACAAAGAAAACAAAGGGGAATAGGTCTGATTTCCTTGTAGAAGATCCACTGGATCGTCCCTCTTCTTGAATGGTTTGGCTTTGGCACTGGAGAGGCCAGGACTAAGGAGGCCCCGCTCTCACCCAGAAGATCCATCCAGGGCTTTTATAATCCCGTTGCTCCCAGGGGCATCCCAGAGTTGTGACCCATGCATGGAATCTCCTGCATGGGTTGGGGAAAATCGTGGCTCACCACCCGTCCGTTTTCTCCACTGCTGGTTCCTGCTGCAGATGCTCTGGGGAGGGTTGATGTCCGTATGGCTTCATTGATTGATTGCTGTGGAATCAAACAAAAACCCTTTTTAAGAGAGACAGGGGGAGTCTCCCCCTGTCCTTAGCAATGGCTGGGCAATTCCAACATACCACATACTGTCATTGCTGATCTCATTCAGCCTCCCAGTTCTCTTATTGCTTTCCCGCTCGTTCTGCTTGGTACCTTCCACACTTTTGAAATGTAGAGTTCAAGCATCTCTACATTTCAGATGGAAGTTAGTGTAGTTTAGCGTGCACTTCCAACCCTACAGCACTGACTGCTATCAATAGATGTTTTGTCTTGTCACCATCAACATCCATGGGATTGATAGCATTGCCTCTTCCGGATAGGAGAGGCTACATCTGTCAAAGGTTTGTTGGCCTCATATATTCCTGACGATATATTTTTCAAGGCTGATGAGGGCTGAAACATGGAACCTGTTTTCAGAGTCATCGCCTGGAATGTGTGAAATAAACAATTAAGGAGATAATAATATCTTGATAATTGTTTGATTTTGTGCAAAGCAAACCAGTAATCTTAAATTACCAACCACACAAATTAGAGGGTTTATGGTTAAAGGCTTCTGTGTCGGGGCAGAAAATCAGGCTTAGATACCCTGGTCTTAGAAATAAGGCATTCCTTTTATTGTATGACTATTTTAAGAGAGTATCTATAACCTTTCAAAATGTGTGAATTCTTTTTAGACATACATGTTGGAGCAAACATATTTTAAAAGAAGTAATTAATAAGGCAAGGCAAGAATATGTTCTGTTTAGTTCATAACACCTGTGTCTGAAGAACACCTCTTAGGTTAGAAAGACTGTGAATAAATTAAAACTGGCTCAATAGAAAACATAATTTCACTTACGGCACATATACTAAGAGCGAAGCCATCCCAGCTCACATGTTCTTTACCACATTACGGAGTGGGTTGGGAGATGGGCTCTCAAGGGAAAATTAATTACTGGGGCAGCAAGAGAGGGGTTTAATCCTTCTCTCTCTCTCTCTTTCTCTCTCCCCTCCTCACTGTTGGAAGGCAGTGACGTGTATAGCCTGCCGCCCTCAGCTGTGCTGGAAGAGGCTCTCCCACCTGCAAGGCTGAAGCAAGATTCAGCTGCCAGTCTCATCAGCAGTTGCACATGGGATGCGAAGGGGTGGCATCAACTTCTTCACCTCTGGCAGAAAAATGTCCTGGACTGGCCCTTGGTTTAACCCCTTGCTCAGAGCAGGATGCAGCAACAGTGTCTCTGACAAGTGGCTGTCCAGCCTCTGCTTGCATTCCTTCAGGAAAGAAGAGCCCACTGCCTCTTGCTGCAGTCAGCTCCTTCCCAAACAGCCCCCCCCCCCCCATTGGGAAGTTCTCATCATGCTGAGCCAAGATCTGCTTCTCTGCAGCTTCTGGCTGGTTCTAGTCAAGGTGCTAGTCATGCCTGCTGGAGCAACAGGGAGTGAGCCTGGGTCATTTCTGCACAACAGCCCTTCAGGGCTTTGAAGCCACCATCACAGTCCTTCTCTGGTGTCAAATGAAGTGCCAGCTGCCAGCCCAGTCAGCTTCTGAACATGAATAGGAAAGAGGGCCATCCTGAGCCAGCCCTGTTTGGAGGTGACAGATGGAAGGAATAAAAAGGATCTTCCCAGTGTTTTGCCACTCAGGGAGTCCTGCCTGGGACTATTGCAAGCAGTTAATAAATATATTTTAATTAGTCCATTTTAATAAAATCCATGTTAATAAATATCTGAAATGCTCCAGCAGAGGAAAGTGTTGCAAATATGCTTTGAACTTATCTGGAAAAAAGATAAATGCCTCCTGAGAAAGCAAAGTGCTTTCCAAAAGAAGTTGGACATAGTAAAAAGATTTTACCCCTTTTGTTTGCAGTTGTTTAATATAGTTGGCATCAAAAGCCCAGTCCCATATACTGTATGTATGTGATAAACTTCTGCTGAGATAAGGATGAGAGTCAAGGATCAGCAGGACTACTGGACAGCTATGAAACCAAGCTTTTCTACACAAGGCTGTTTATCAGCTGTTGATGTACCATTATTTGCTTTCAATTTTGTGGCAAAACTGAGATCCAAACATTAATGAGAAATGTTCCTGTTTTCCACTACATAACCTCTAGGTGGCACTGTGGTATAAAAGAATAGAACAAATACATCAGACATCACACTTTCTTTTGCTTTCGTAATTAATGCCACAATTAGTCTAAGAATACTCACCAAAAGTTCTGCTAAACAGAGGCAAAATCAGAGAGTCACAACATTGTCTAAAGAACCCATAAACAATGGCAAGTAGGGAATGATGAGCACATGATAAATGTCTTGTGTAGAAAACCCTGTTGTGTAAAGAATAGGCTTGTTCACACAGTGCTGTCTTCTGAGACAACAAATCCCAAACTTGAGGGTTGGATTTGTGTATGCAGTCTAAAGGGTTAATTAGTGGCTGGAGTTGGGGCCCGTGTAATAAAAGTGATAGCAAGCCAGGATTGGATATATGAAAATAGGTTCCAGTCCCCAGCAGCTCTGAATGGGGCTTTGAGCAAGCAGTGATAAACCTCACCCTAACGTATATCACTTAATACATTGCAAGACTAAAATGCTTCTCTGAAATCCTTGGATATTTATAAATTCTTTTCTCTTCCATATATTCATCTTGAGATATATGGCTATGCAGGTCTATAAGGAGAGAAATGCTTAGAAGAAGTGCCTGGAGAAAGCTTGCTTCATTTTGGTATTCATTCCTATGCTTGTATACAAACCAAGAAAGGTGGCTCCTTGTTTACCATTCAGCATCAACATTCAGAGCTGCTTTGCACCTGTTTGGCCCTCCTCTTTTGCTGCTGTTGTGTGGGTACGGGATACGGGAAGTCAATGAGAAAAGAGAGGCACACTGTGAAGAGAGTGTCTGTGGATGCTCCTTCACAAGTCTGAGCATTGTGCGAGTGCTTTCTTTACAGCTGCGGCTTCAGCTGGGCCTTAAGCACAAGATCACTGGATGATGAGGTGGGCGGGCCTGGGCACACCGCAATTTCATACCAATGTAAACATTTCTGACCTTAAACTCTTGATTCAGAATTACAATTGTGAATTGCCACCCACAATTTTTCCTGCTTCTGGAAAGATCTCAGCAGATCTGTAGGATGGGTGCCCAAGGGCGTTTCTACCCAGGAAAGTGAGCTAACTTGAGAGCTAAAACTGTTGAGTGGCTTAACTAGGGTTGCATCAGTGACTTGCTTAAGGTTACTCATGACCTTCATCAATGGGCAGGACTTACACATCTAAAACCCCTGAATCTTTTTGTCTTGCAAATTGTTCTTTTGCTATTTCCACAGCAGTGGGGAGTGGGGAAACAAGAGGGACTTGCACACTCAAGCGGCTGTGGGGAAGGCCTGTGTCTTAGAGGCAGAGTGCATGCTTTGCATGCAAAACGTTTCCAGCATTCCAGGCAGGGCTGCAAAAGAAGTCTTCTCGTACCCTAGGGAATTGCTGTATAGACAATGCGATGCAAAAATGGACCGGTGATCTGCCTTGGCATCAGGTAGCTTCCTACCTTCCAAACAAACTGTAATGTTTAAATCCACTTTTGACTGACAACAGATAGATTCTCCCATTTTTCCAGAATGATTTCCAAGGGCTAGTTCATATAAGACATCATATACTTAGCCTAGAACATTTCCATTTTAGCAAGGGCAGGGAGACTGGGCATGTAAACTGGTCTGTGTTTGTTTCTAAACTGTTTCAAACCATGTTGCTTTGTGTTTGCATGTTAGGAACGTCTGGAGTAATGGCTTAATTTAAAATAACTCTGGAATCCTGGCCACAAACAATGCGCAAAGAAGCCCTTACCCGGCTGAACACTAGATAGATATTTAGGGGAAAAACCATTTTCATGTCTCTAAAATATTGACTTTCTACCCTAACAGGGATCCTGGATAGGTTCAATTGCTAGAGGAAGATTGGGAGTCTGGCTGGTATCAGAAAGAAGGTGTGAAAGGCCTGTGAATGTGTTGCCACCTTCATCCGTTTTGATTCACTTCTGGACTTGTAACAAAACTCGATTAAGGCAACCAGCATGGCTAGACCAAGCCCTCCGATCAGGATGTAGAAAACTCCGGCCACATTGCTGAGACTCAAAGCACTTGTTTTATCCTGTGAGAGAAAGGAAAGGGGAAAAGGGAAGTGGGAGGAAGAAACAGGCTGTTAGTGCAGAATTGTTCTCGAGGAGTGGGACACAAGTGTTCAGTAGGATAACAACAGCACAGAGGGGCCACCACTCCCAGTACACACAAGACATTTCCAGTTCCTTCCTTTACAATGGAATATTCATCCCCCACTGAACACACAAAAGGGACTAAAGTGTTTCAGTGGCTTTGCAACTCTTTGGGAAAGGGTTGGGCTAGATGATTTTTAATCTTCACCCTTAAATAATACCTATATGTTCCATATGTCTGGGTAGTTTCAATCATTGATACTAATGTTATCTACTATGAGCTGACATTTGTAGTCTCCAGTCTTTTGCTCTCCTAAAATAACTCACTCTCTTAGAAGTGCCTGTGTATTTCTTTCATTGTTTCACCCACAATTTCTGTTGCAAAGCAACAAATCAACATCACTTTCTTTGCCTCTAATGTGCTCCCCTCCCTCCTTTGTGAAATATTCAGGTTGTGGTGACACGGGAAGGGATCAAGCCTTAACTAGACATTTAATTCCACTTTGGTAGAGCAATTATTTTCTGGCTGTGTTCCAGGAATTTGTTTTTAATGCACCATTTTATTGATAAGGAGGATTATTAGTAACCAATTAATCATCTTTGGTCCTGATTATAAACAGATTTTATAAATACCAGGTAATTAATTGCACTCTGTTAAATTGGTAGATATAACTCTGATTGTATAGACAAAAACTGATTGCTAGTAGAGAAGCACAGCAAACACTGGTGTCTAATTTGACAAAGATTCCAGAATCTTCTTATTCATATGGGGGATTTGCTAAATTAAATGATTACCTGGTTTAGAATCTAGATTTGGAAAACACTTTCTCCATTAGTTCATGTATGCAGAAAACAGATACTGGAAGCTTGTTGGGCTTTCCCTGAGGATCATATAAGAAGTGCTTGAACAGGCTGAATCCTATACTTTCTATTTTTAAATCATTACTATAAGGGACTCCTGCCTTTGAAAATGTAACACAGAAAGGATCTGCATAGGTGTATACTTCTGAGAAAGACAGATGCATTGCACACCATTCAGCAGCATGGTCCTGGGACCCTTCCCATATCATGTTTCAGGTATAGAAGGGTGAATTTATTCTGACTGGCCCAATGTCACATTCATCACACTGGTGTGGTCTGCAGTGCAAATGCAGGATAAAGGCAAGTTTGGTGGTGATGCATACATATCCAAAAATAAATGCTTTGGAATGCGCCAAGTCCATGTCAAACTGCCACATGTTATATTGTTGATCTTGACTGCAAATACATAATTTTGAAATCTGTTGTTTTAAAAATCATTTTTGTCTCATCATTTGCAGTTATGCAAAGAGAACAAAGGCTTTCCTTATTGCTTGTAGGTTTGCTTATATCAGTTCAGGCAACATTTGACCTATGGCTATATGTGGCTATGACACCTCCAAGAAAAAAAATGTATAACTTTTTTTTAAAGAAGGGATTGGTATCCATATCATTATGGAGCATCAAAAAGGTCAAAATTGGCTTTGATTTCCAGACCAAAAAATAAAAGCATGTTCCAGTCACCCAGCAGACTGCAGCTCATGGGGAACGGGAGAAGTCCCACGTTGCAAAAATGCCCCCACCAGGTCTCCTGAAGCTGTTTCCTCCCTGATTTACATTGTACTTCCCAAAAGAAACACAGCTTGTTATCAGTTGAGGACCAAGAATTTAATGAACATATAAACTCTATAATATTTAGATGTACCTCTTTCTTCTTCTGCTATGGTTATAAGGAATATACTATTGAGATATGCCTCTTTTTAATCTTAACTTTGCAGGCTTGGGAATTTACTGCTGGGATTTTTCGCAACTATTTCCAGAGGCAACATTCTTCTTTTCTAATTGATTGTCAAGTTAATGGATCTAAAGTTTTAAATTTTGTAAGACTGTTTGGCTTGCTTTTGCGGTTGTGATGTATTGCTGTTGCAGTTTAATTGTAAAAATGTGTTTAAGTATAATTTTAATTTTTAATGTAATTTTATGAAGCTTTATTGTTTTGATTTGTATTGTATTTATTATTGTTGATCATCACCCAGATAGTGTTGGCTCCTTGGGAGGAGGGTATAAATATTAATCAAATATATAAATAAATACAATTTTAGGCAGGCAGGCTTTGTTCTAATCTCATCTCCCAGCCTTAGGAATTTAACTATAATAGCTCCTTCCCATCTGATGTTGGAGGTTCTCAAATTCAATTGCCTTTGCTTTGCCCCCTTTGCTTTGTACACTGCAGTGTGAATATTCATAGGTGGCATTCTCTTGTCTTGTTAGTTAATCCCTTCAGAAACCCATTATTCTAAAAGGGAAATCCTGTCAGTTCCAGAGATGATTTATCTGTTCAGTGGCCTTCTTCAAGCTAGTTACTCATTTAATCGAGAATCTTCTTTCAGATATTTTCTAAGTATAATCAGTTTTCTCCAAATATCTGTTTAGCCATAATTTTATGCTAATCTTTACCCCAAGCTCCAGGACAGCCATGGCTCTAGTTATGAGTGAAGGGGCTATTTTACACTTTGTCTCCACACGATTGTTTCAAAGATTTGATTGCATTTGTTTCCTAAGCCTATTTAGAAGTTCAAGAATGAGTGTGTTTTTTGTGCCTTGTACACATGGAAATGGGAAGAGTGAGTGGGTTTCAGGGATCTTTCCCGATTTTCAAACAGCAGTGGAAGCTTATTCAAATGCCAGTGCTTTCGCTCTGATGGTCAGCACATACTGTTAGTAAGAGATGTGTATTGTAAGGAGCCGTTTTAATAGATCCAGGTTTCAACAACTCTGCAAGTCAGTGCAAGAACTGTGTTTCGCACGTGTCTGGCTGTGCATTGTACAGCTGGGGAAAATGTCCAGGACACTCACGGTTGCAAGACTAATTTTCTTTGCTGCCTCCTCAGGGGACACAGGCCAGAAGAGGACGGATATGACAAATGGGATGTAAAGGCTGGCTGATGCTTGGCTCCAGCTCTATGGAAGGTGAGTGTGTCAACTCCCCCAGCAGTCACAGAATTGATTTGGGCTTGAAGTTCTTCCACAGGCATCTTGCAGCGTCTTGGCTGTCACATTTTTCTCCCGCTGGAAGGATGCCATTTCTACTTGCAGAGAGTTTTCCTCGAGATGGACTACACTCTTGCAGCCACAGTTCTTCCCCGCTTGGATATTGGCACCAGGGTCATATTTGTGTGCTACAAAGCCAAGAAAACCATCCCCGCCTAACACTGCTCGCCTCAGCATCTCGGCTCCTGATGCTTTTGCACTGGCTCCTGACTTAATCGTGCTAATAATAACAGAGGATAAAGAACGGGACCGAGCCCTGAGAGAGCGCCAGGTGTCCTGTTGGCCTTGCCATTTGGGCTTTGTGGCAAGATGCCCCCCAAGGTGTTTGCCCAGCATGCGGCCAGCTTCGTAGTGGGAGTGTAAATGTCACAGCTTGCCTCCCGCAAAGGGAGAGCCACATTCTGAGGGAAGAGGGAAGGAGGGAAAAGGAAGATTGGCAGGTGAAGAGCAGACCAAAGGAGCCAGACTTTCAGAAATGTTCCAGCCGCGTTGCCATAGCGATGAGGCACCTTCCCCGCCTGCTTCTTTTTAACGAGTGGCAGCTTATCCATCATCCTGTTTGTTATGGTTTTAGTCTGCTCTGACAGAAACTCTTTTGAGTTTCTGTTGTTCTCCTCTGGCCCTCAGCAAAGGCCCTGCACATCACGTAGAGCAAGGTGGAGCTGTGTGTCGTTGGGCTTTGGAGCAAAAATGGAGGTTTTAGAGCTGATGAAAAATGTCCTGGTTGCCCCTCCAGTGTGCTATCATTTAAAGCTGCCACACAGAAACTTTATATCTGTTATTCACAGAAACACTTAACGCGAATTGGTAATTCTGTTCCGTTTGGAAATTCATTGTTATGCCATGCCTCCCTGTGTGTGCATGTCTAAATGCATCACACCTGGTAAAACAAGAGGAGGTAAACTGCCTGAGCCTTTTAGCTAATGAAGGAAGGAGCTGTTTATCAGTTTTCCCAAGCAGTGTGATTCAGCACACTAAAGAAGGAAAACAGATTTATTGTAATTTCAGGAATTTTCCCGTATGCAGTGCTATTGGTAATTTTTAACATTATCTGGTAGTTTATTATTATCCTATAAAAAGCATGAGTTTTACAGGTCAGAGGAAAGAGATTCCAGTGCATCCCTGGTCATATAAGAATCTGCTAGGCTCAAGTCAGACTAGCATTATTGTTTTATTAGGCCTTTGGCCTCTCTTCTAAGGCCCATTTTCTTGGAAGGTGCCTCCCTGCCCCCGCCCCTTTGAACCCCAACTGTGACAGCAAGTCTGCATCAGAAATCACCCCTCCGCCCCCGCAAGTAACTGCAAAATTGGAATAATACGAGGAAGGGTGTGTGCTGGTTGCAACATCTGGCTATGTCACCATGTATTTTTAAATATCAATGTATCCTGATGATTTGGACACAGGCTAATGTGTAAGGTGTTCTGTTTGTTTGTGGGATAATGATGCTGAGGTTAGTAGTCCAAGCATGCAAAATACTGCATCCTGGTTCCTTATAGAGTATGATAGACTCTGTTCTGCGTTTTCATAGGATTTTGGTTGGTTGTGCTCTCAGAGAAGAAAGAGACCATGATGACACTAATCCAGATAATCTTTTAGGTGTTCAGTCAGAGTTTAGGATCCATTAATGAGCTATAGGAGCTGCTGAAACACTTTTCCACATTCTAATGGTTGGGACAGTGGATGCTCTTAAATGGAATACTTTGCAATTTAAGTGGAACAGAGAGAGCAATTGGACAGACCCTGACCTGGGAGTAAGTCCTATTAGACGCTCTTCTGACTAAATACGCATGTAATTACACTTGCCTAAATTTAGCATTCCATGCTAATCAATTTGAGCATTCAAGCACTTGGGACACTAAAGGTGCAATT